TTTATGTGCTGATCTTGAGCATGCAAACTTGCTTGTAGTGTGGCAATGGATGAAGAGGAGAAAGTTGTGATCCATTAATAACCAGTAATGATTTCCGTCATTCAATCCTCTCTAACAATGCCCGTGCTGGAAGCGTGATTGAGGAGCAGCTATACGGATCACCTCAAGATTTTTGTTGACTATGTGGAAATCCGAGCTATCTTTGAACTTGCATGGCCTGATCTCAGTTCTAGATTCAAGATTTGGAAGAGAATTGCACGATGAAAGAAATGCACAGATAGAATGCAAAACTCAACAGCTATAACCTCATGGAATAAATTATTTATGTGTTATTGATTTTCACTTCAACATAGTATTACCAATAAAAATATTGTATTTATATATACAATCGTATCTCTGTACACTGTGCAGTGTTACGCATGCAAAAGCAGAAAAGATCATAACAATAATATCAGTGCCACTCAAGCTTAGTGACTTCTATTGCAACTGAAGACTAATATAATTTAGGCTATATGCATTTTACTTTCTACTGCATTTTACTATTGACTAGTTCATTACGTCATCCATTCCTAGTTATTCCAACCCACCGGCATGCAGCTATTACTGGCTCAAAACACCGCTTCTCCTCCACCCCACCGCCTTCCACTCCCTGGGCGAAGGCCTTGTTTTGGGTCCCAGCACAAGCTAGTGTTGAAGGAGAAGTTCAAGAGCTTCAACACCTTTGGCGGTCTTTAATTTGTTTAGCACAATTAGATGAGTTAGATGGAAGGTGAAAGATAAAACTTATGAAATTACATTTTTGCTCCTGATTTTAACTATCAACTAATAGGTAAGTTAACGGAGGACTAAATTGGGCAAAGATTACATAATTGAGGACCTAATTGAGTAAGAAGAGTAGTCGAAAATTAATTGATAATTATGGCATAGTCGACGAACCATTTTAGTTATTAACTCTTTTAAAAAATTTTATTGTAAAAGGTTATGCTATAAGAGAACTAAATTGAAAGAACAACAATTAACAAACTGAATGCAATAAACAAAATTTTGTACATCAATGAAAGTTCAAAATCATATGAGTTTTTATATATTTTTGAAATATTCTTAGAGCATTAAATTTGATTGCAACAAATATGTTTTCGTTATCATCATGGATGTTGGAAAATATGTGTTTAAAAAAAAAACAAAAAATATTTGTCATATCTAGAATTAATACATTTAGTAACAAATATTTTGTAACAAATCGTAATTTAGTCACAAATAATACCCTTTGGTGACAAAATATAATTCGCTACTATTGTTTGTGATAATTGTGATCTTTTTTGGTCACGGATATTATAATAATTGTGACAACTAAGTATTTGTTAAGAATAAGTGTCACATACTATTACTAGAATAATAGTGTCGTAATCTAAGTTGTCGCTAAACGTATGTGCATTTTGGTGGCATTGTAATTATGGCGGGAACGACTATAATTGGGACAAAATATAGTGTGGACACAAATTTTGGTCCTTTTTAATTAATATTATATTAGGTTTGCAATGAGAAGTTAGAATTACTTGACTTGCAGGAACCACCCAAATGATGGGAGGCTCGAAAGTTTAAGATAATTTTTTGAATGCTACTGGCTATATTACAATGTAGTATTTGTTCATATACTTTCTTAACCTACTAAAACACAAAGAACCAAAAATGGTTCCATTGAGGCTCAAACTCACAACCTTCCAAATGAAAGTCCAACCTAGGTACCATTAGACCACATAGTCTTGATAAGTTTAAGGTAATTTTAATTTATAATTATTGTATATTATCATTTTAATTGGTAGATTTTGTTACCCAAATTTGTGGTCTTTTATGTCTCTTGATTCTCTTCTAGTTTATTTCTTATTAATAATAAAAAAAATTATTTATATATAGGACCAAAGTGAAAGAAATAAAATCAATAGACGAAATCAAGAGATCAAATCAGTTAGTAGTACAAAGTCTATTGTACAAATTGCATATGGGATGATAAATTAAAGTAAAATTTTCTTTACTAAAAATTGATTTCATGTTATTTTATACACAAAATTTTTAATTAATTATTTCTTTTTGTTGTCTTTATTCTATATTTTACAGAAAGACAAAGATTCTAATGAATGATCAAATGTTATTGCAGTTTGGAAGACATCAAGAAAAAAGTCTAATGGAACTTGGTCCATTCCAAATAGAGTGGAAATCATGGATGATATGAAAATTATAGTCATATAAATGTTGTGACTTTTTTTTAAAATTAATTTACTCAATTATTAATATCTATCATAATTGCGAAATAAAATGCAAGAAGAGGGAGAGAAGGATAAAGAAAAGATTTCAACTGCACCTATACCACTTAGCTTAGCTTGTTGAGCATTTTGATTTGGTATTAAGAAGAAAGTCAAGCTATGCACGTGTTTTAGACCTTAAAGGGATAACTTCAAAGATTCAAGAGAAGATTTTTCTTCAAGCACAAATAGAAGCTTCAAAAAAACTTGAAACGAATTTAGAAAAAATTGCAAAATTTCAAGAAATCGCACAAGCAGTTTTAGAGGAATTAAACAGGTCACTGAAATCAAACCAAAATTTGCTCACTTATCAAGCAATGAAGTGTTCCCAAATATGTTGAACAATGCATCTCTAGCAAGTGCCTCACATAAAGAATAATCAAGAATTTGTTTTTTTTTTTTTTTAAATTATTTCTATTTTGTATTTCTTACAACATATATTAGTTAGACAATGTGGTCTTTTTTATATTTAAATTTTACGAGTAACATTTGTAGAATGAATTACTTTATTCTAGATAATAATTAAATTTAAACATTTAATTGTGACAAGATTTTGAAATAAATAACTTTATAGTGTATGCATTAGTCTAGTATTATTTGCAAAAAAACAATAAAGGAAAATTGCATATTTGGTTCTTGAGTTATACCCAAGTTCTAACTCAGTCGATGAGTTATGACTGTATCCATTTTTAGTCCCTCAATCATAAACGAAGTGCCGTATTTGGTCCCCGACCGTTAAAACTGACAGAAAAAGTTAAAAAATATTTAAAATTTATGGAGTGAAGTAGGAAATTCACATTTTATTATCCTTCTTATATCAAAACCACTTTCACAACATTATTTTCCACTTCTTAGCCTCTTATTTCAAGATTGTTCAATTGTAAAAGCATTTCAATAATTTTAGTATGACTTGTTAGGAACCTTGCTCTCGTATAACAAACTTAAAACTTAGCACAAATAAAGAAACACTTGAACATTGTCTTTAGACGTGTGAAACACACTATCCTATCAATTTTCAATTTTCTTTAATAAGCAACAAAGGTAATCAAACCAGAACTTTTGAGATACAAAATGATGTCAAATTTCTAAGGTTGCTTTTATGAGAAATTCACCAACGGAATTACTTGAGATTTTTAGTATGTAAAATTTTTTCATATGCAACAGTCAATAATCGCTTTTAGAAGTTACAAAAGTTTTTAAAATTTTGATAACTGAGTCTTAGGTTCCTCATTCATTACTCTTGTTTTTAAGAAGACAGGGGATGTGATGGGTATATATATAATATAATTTTCATATATTGGGAGGATATACAATTCTTGATTAAGTTACTGCAGAGCTTACGAAAGAATTTTATGTACTAAAAATATAAAGTTACTCCCTTGGTGAATTTGTCATAAAAATAACTGAGAAAATTTGATATCTTCTTGTATTTCAAAAGTTATGGTTTGCTTACCACTATGTTTAGTAAGGAAAATCAGAAACTTTTAGGATGATGTGTTTTACATGCTTGAAGACAATGATCAAGTGTTTTTTTGTTTGTACTGAGTCACAGGTTTCTTATACGAGACTCAGGTTACTAACAAGTCATACGAAGATTATTGAATTGCTTTTGGAATTGAAGAACCTTGAAATAGAATGCTTGGAAGTTGAAAACAATGTTGCAAAAGTGGTTTGAATATAAGAAAGTTAATAACATGTAAATTTCCTACTTTACCCCTAAAATTTTAAATATTTTTTAATTTTTCCGCCAGCTTTAATAGTCAGGGACCAAATGCGCCACTTTGCTCATAACTGAGGGACTAAAAAATGATACGGTTATAACTCAGGGACTGAGTCGTCACCACCAGTATAACTCAAGGACCAAACTCGTCATTTTTCCAAATAATAATAATAGAATAATAATTAAAGATATTAGTGACGAAGATGATGGCTACAAGAATGTGAATTGTTGTTACGACTTTATTTAACAGTAATGATTGTTTGAGAGTTAACTTTTTTTTTTGTCACAAATAAATACAACATTTGTTACCATGATTGTTGTCACAACAAAGTAATTACCTGTTACCATTTTTAGGTCATTGATAACCTTTTTTGAGCCAAGAACAATTCTCACAAATAAGTACAATTATTGTGACTAAAATGTTGTCACAATAAAATGGTCATTGCAACGATTTTAGTTGTCACTAAATCCTTTTTTGGTAATAACATATTGGTCACAGAATGTAAATTTATTATATTTTGACGTCTATTGTTATCACTCAAATAATACTTTTAGTGTAAGTAAACCTTGCCACAAAAGTCTTAAATAATTGTAACAACTTTTCAAAAGTCGTCACTATTATAATAGTGACGGAAGATATATATAATGACAACATGTGACAACCTCAAAATTTGATCACTAATTTCAATAGTGACCAAAATGAATAGTTTTGGTGTCACAAAATGTTAAAAAAAAAATAAAAATAAGTAAATAAATAAATAAATAAAATTGTAGTGAAACACCTGATGCTAAACGTAAACCTTCCCCTACTTACACCCAAGAGATCCCATGACACTTGTGTCTTAAGACATCAACTTTATTGCCGTAATTAGAATTATATTCTAATTCCTCTACTTGCATGAGATCGCTTTATGTCTCCGGTCTACGTGCATGCATATATATACACTACACCCGAAGAGAGTCACTTCACAAAACACGTTCAATCTTCCCAACAGTTCAATCTCTGTATACAGCATCTCCATATATATATTTATTGAAATATTATTCATATCATATAAATATATAGTTTGAGAAGATGATTGGCTGGGAAGATATTTACAAGGTGGTGAACGCCGTGGTGCCACTGTACGTAGCACTAATTTTGGGGTACGCCTCCGTGAAATGGTGGCGCATCTTCACGGCAGAGCAGTGCAACGCCGTGAACCGCTTCGTCTGCTACTTCACTTTCCCACTCTTCACCTTCGAGTTCACCGCTCATGTCAATCCCTTCAAGATGAACTACCGGTTCGTCGCCGCCGACATCATAGCCAAACTCATCATCGTCGCCGTTTTGGCGTTTTGGGCTAGATACACCGCTAAAGGTAACCCACCTAAAATTTATTACTCCCTTGTCTCACTTTATATGTTTTATCTGAACTTTGCCTTTCACCAATCTCCACCTAACAATCCTTAGCTACCAATTGATGAATTTAGCACTTGGTCCTTCACCAATTTCTGTCCAACAACGTACGTAACCCCTAGCCATTAATTATATTGATGGATTTGGACCTTTACCGGCCTCCGCCTAACAACCCCTTGCCACCAATTAATAAACTTGGCCCTTTACTGGCATTCATCCAACAATTCCTCCTCCATCTTAATTGCACAATTTTTGTTTTTGTTGTAACTCAGAACCTGTTACATGACTTTGATACCACTTGTTACACCCAACAAAAAAAAAAAAGAAGAAGATATAACTAATAGTGAAGATGCAATTTTATTTCTTTATATACTGCCATCATATTCTCCAAAAACAAGGTGCTGGACTTTGGCCTCCGTCTAATAATCCCCAATTGTTATATCGTGGACCCGTGTCTAAAATACACAATTTGCATACTAGACGTTCAAAATTTACATACACAATTCAAATACTTAATTTTCACAATTTAACTTTTACAAAATTGTGAGTATTCAGTATGTAAATTGTGTATTTTGGACTAGAGTCTAACTTGCAATGTGGACCGGAATCCTCAAAATAATTTGCTCAATAATCATCTAGCCATCAATTGATGGACTTAACTCTTTACCGACCTTGGCCCAACAAAATTAAATAAAAAAAAAAAAACAGTTGATTTGAACTATAAATATTAAATAAGACAGATAAAACATAGAAAATTTGACGCTAAATTATTAGTGGGTTATGGTGATTTAGGGAAGTATGGGTGGTCAATTACAAGCTTTTCATTGTCGACTCTCACGAACGCTCTGGTGGTCGGCGTGCCGTTCGTGAAGGCCATGTACGGAGAGGCAGCCGTGGAGCTGGTTGTCCAGGCGTCGGTGGTGCAGGCGATCCTCTGGCTGACGGCGCTGCTGTTTGTGCTGGAGATAAGGCGAACCAGGAATGATTTTTACTCCAACGACGACGGCGGCGGCAGGGTGATTCCGGCGGAGAGTGACGGGAATGATTTGGAGGGAAATACCAAGGTTGTGGAGAACGCAAAAAATATTACTAATAATAGTAATTCCACTTGCCGGTTGATGAGGGCTGTGTCGTTAAAGCTTGTCATGAACCCTAACTTATATGGATGTGTTATTGGGATCGCTTGGGCATTTATTTCCAACAAGTAAGCAATTTGCTCTTTCTATCTCATTATTTTTATCTCATCTCTAGCTTCTATTAATTAGATGTTAATTAAGGCAATTTTAAACCAACAAAGTATATATATATACTGGTTCAAATACGGTGCCATGTTTCCGTGCAGATTGCACCATTAGGTGCGCATATATAAATGCACAACAACGTGTTTTGAAATGCACCCGGTGAAATGCACAAATGCACTACAAAAAATGTATCACACCTTGGTGCATTTCTGCACACGTGACGGTGCATTATTGCATACCTGTGTTACATGACCGCACGTCCGCACAAAAAGGTCTATCCGCAAGGAAACCAGTCTATATATATATATATATATATATATATATATATATATATATATATATATATATATATATAATTAATTTTTGAAAACTTTTACTATACTCTATACAAAGTAATATTAAAATTACTCCTTTCAAAAAAAGAAAGTAATACTAAAATTACAAATTTTACTTTATCATAATTATAAAGTGATAATAATTGTTTGGTAGAAATGTAAAACGTATTTAAAAGCTTATTATAACTTATCTTAAAATACAAATAAAATGGGAGATAATTAATTTTAAAACATTACTATCTATAACATTTCAAAATAAGCTCATAATTTTATTTATTTATTTATTTATTTTTGAAGCCAGTAAGCTCATAACTTATTAAAAAAAAAATTCATTTTTATTCCCCTAACTTATTAAATCATAAGCCTCTCTCCTGTCTTTTTCCTCTTTTCCCTCCACAACTTTCAACCCTCATGTCCACCTTTTTTTTTTTTTTTTTTTTTTTTTTTTTTTTGTCTCTTAAAGAAACAACCACATGTATTTTATTCTTCAATAATAATAATAATAATAATAATAATAATAATAATAATAATAATAATAATAATAATAATAATAATAATAATAATAATAATAATAATAATATTATTATTATTATTATTATTATTATTATTATTATTATTATTATTATTATTTTAACTACTAATTTTACTACTGTATTATATTATACACACACATTCAGATTGTTATGAATGTTTTTTAGACTTAATTCTCCATATATTAATTTCATTAAGTTAATTAATTTTACTAGAAATTTTAATTGTAATAGATCAATTACTTATCAATTTTAAACTTTCAGCTTTGAACTACTAATTTATCAATTTTCATTTAGATCTGTACTAATAAAATTTTAGCTAAATACAAAATAGTTATTAATTAAGATCCGGTACTTAAACTTTCTAAATTGATTAAAAATTTTAACTTTTGTCTGATGCATGTTGGTACGTAGGTGGCACATTGAGATGCCGAGTATGGTGGAAGGATCAATATTGATATTGTCAAAAGCTGGCACAGGCACAGCTATGTTTAGCATGGGTGAGACTATTATTATACATAACAAATCTATACTATTAATTGTGCAGTATTTGAAAAAAGAGTTAATTCCAAAAATAATATATTGACTATTAATATTTATTATTGATTTTTAATTTGGACAAGACTACTGATAAGTTGATTTCTGTCTTAAATTTGAAGCGATTATATCTGTTGTTTGAACACTCTTAAATATACAAATCAGAAGAGGTGATTTTACTAGCTAATTTTTACATTCTCACCCTTAAATTTAACGCTTATTAAATGAATATTTAACCAGAGGATCAAATCTGAAACAAAATCAATAATAATCAAAAATTAATTATAGTAAAATTGAAAGTTGAAGATAAAAAAAAAAAATTGTAAATGCTAATGTATAGTTAAAGGACCATTCCTAGAATTAACTCATTTGAAAAATTAGACACACCATCTATCCGAGTTTAGCTATATTATTATTTATTATTTATTAATTAAATCATTTATATATGTTTATACATGTTTTCTTTTAATAAATTTTAAATTCACTTTTTAAGTTATATATTATTTTTATACTAATTTGCATCAAATCTGCAAGAGATTTTGGAATAGTATTTAAATTGCGGTCAAAGATTCAATATGGAGTTAACTTTTATAATGGAGTTAGACTCTTGACTTGAGTGGCATATCATTTGGTACTCTTAGCTTGTTGAGATTGGTGTATTATGGTAAAGGGCTACCTAGTGCTTGATAGCGCTCAAAGGGAACCGATTGATAGACATCTTGAGTGAAAGTTATCCAAAATAAAGTAGTCGAATTTTTCGCACTTTTGGTCACACGACTATAGTGATACTATTAGGATTGATCCATGACTTTCAAACCTTGCAATCTCGGTTCACGACTATTGTTTTTGTTTTTTTTTTTTTTTTTTTTTTTTTTTTTTTTTTTGCAAAAATGATCCTTCCAGCCCATTTTCCGTCAATTTCTCACCGGAGTAAGAACCATTTCCGTCAAAAGCGGGTCAGAATATTGACGGAAAATAGACCAAAAGGACCATTTAAAACAAAAACAAAAACAATAGTCGTGGACCGAGATTGCAAGGTTTGAAAGTCGTGGATCAATCCTGATAATGCCACTATAGTCGTGGGACAAAAAATGTGAAAAAACTCTAGAGTAGTCCTCTCATCAGACACAACCTGAGCAGAAGGGCGACTAACCTTGATAAGGTCCAGAATGAAACCATCCAAAGAGAAAAAAAGGCTACCCATTATTAAGAAATATTCAATTATTTTACTCTTGGGTTAATTTTAGTGGTGGAGTTAGGATATTAGCTAGAATGCCGTATAATTTTATTATAGTTAATTTTTTTATTATAGAGAATTATAGTTAATTTCTAAACATATAAACTTTATACACCATTAATAAACTAAACATTACAAAATGTCAAATTATAATAAATTACTTAGTCTTTAATTTAATTAATTTGTATTATTATTCAGGATTATTCATGGCCTTGCAAGAGAAATTGATTTCATGTGGAGCGAGTCTGACCATCTTAGGGATGGTTTTGAAGTTCATAGCTGGGCCAGCCGCCATGGCCATTGCTTGCATTGCTATGGGTTTGCATGGAGATGTCCTCAGAGTTGCCATTATCCAGGTTTTTAACTATCATATTTAATTTATTATTCTTCGTTTCAGACTTCTGATCCTTAAATGACTAATAATTAATAAATAAGCTAAGTAATAAAACTGCATTATTAATTATGTTAAAAATATATATACTTCTCCCTAGCTACCGAGAAACGGGTTTTTGAATTTTAGATTAATTAAGAAATGACCTAAAGATTTTCAAAAAAAAAAAAAAAAAAAAGAAATGACCTAAAGCTTTTTAGAAAATTTTTGATTACTTAAGAAATGACATAGGAACATCTCTGAATGAGTTTCCATAAGTTACAGAGATGAAACATTTCTGAAAATGAAAAACACTTCCCTTATGGAGTTTTCGTGCCACATAGATTTCGACTTATACTTTAAAACACAATTTCTTAATTTTTTTCTTAAATAAGTAAAACTTATTGTGTAGTTATTAGTATATGAATTATTTATTTTAAACAAACATTAGAATTATAAATTAAAAAACAATTAACTTAGGTCAAATCAATACATGGGACAAACAACACAAAATAGAGGAAGTAAGAGCATCCCAATCTTTGTAGTTTTTGAGGAGTTTTTACAGATATGACTAAGAAAGAGTAGATGAGATAGAAGGGGAAAAAAATATGATTGTCAAAATTAAAAATGTTAAATACGGGATTTACGTGTCCCGAGGGGGCGTGCAGTACACGCGCCCTTTGGGCGCGCCTTGTGTGCTCAACGCGCGCAGAGAGGGGGAAAACTTTTTCTCTGTCCTCTATCCTCTTTACTCCAAATTATCACCTCTCACCTCCAACTCATCAAAAAAAAATTTTAAAAAAAAAATCTATTGTAGATGCTCTATCATACATGTGCCATGTTATACTATACTAACATTAAAATGGCAAAACAATAAAATTTGGTATCAAGTTTTTGTTTTTATTATTCCATTTGGATAAATTTGACATAACGACGTGAACTAAATTTATGGCCACATATCTAGAATAGTGGAACCTATGGTGTTAAATTATTAGATTTTTGGTATAAATTTATGGTCATATATATCTAGAATAGTGGTATCGATGCTGTTAAATTATAAGATTTTTGGTATAGATTTTGGTATCTATGTGTTCCACAATAGAATTTGTTTGATTATATTGATAAAGTGCATATTGTGATATATTCTTCTATGCATTGTATATGAAATATATACCAAGAGTACTATTTTTGTCATTTTTGAAAACTTGATAAATGGCCTTTCAACAGATCATATTATTCAACGACATAAAATCAAGGAGTTCCTTTATGAAATATTCTATTATTCTCTAGGGTGTAACTTAGATTGTAAAGTTGTATCATCAGCATATGTTCCGGCCGGTGCCCCAAATTAAATTTAAAAAAAATGTACTGGCATTTTCGTAATTATCACCCATTTAGAACATTATACTTTGAACTTTTCAGAATTTTTCAGGAATGCACATTTAGTTGTTACAAAGTTCACGTTTAGTATTAAAAATTTACACTAGTAAAAAATGTGAAAGTGCATTCTACTTTAAAAAAAAAAAAAAATAGCAAGACCAACTCTGCTAACTCGGTCGAATTTGGGCGAGTTCGCCGCCAACTAGGTCAAGTTGGCCGAGTTGGGCACCTAGGCGGTTGGCCGCCTAGATGGCACCTAGGGGTAATTCGCGTAGACCAGCGGGCGCGTGCACACTACACGCGCCCGAATGGGCGTAGTTTGTGCTGGTTACACGAGCACATGCACTTGTCGTTCTCCCTTTTCTCTCTCCTGTGAGCCCCACAAAAAACATCTCTTGCAAGAAGAGTTCAACTTTTTTCTCTCCACCATCTCTCTTCTCCACATATGTCATATTTGCCTTAAAAAGGGTAAAGAATCCACTAATGTGGATGTCCTTACAAGAGATTATATTCTCCCTTGACCTATTTACTAAACATGCTATTGCCAAATAGACAATTTAACTGTATTCTCATTTCTCACACCAAACAGCATTCTAATTATATGGCTATTTACTATAAATAAAAATGACAATGATAATTTTTGTAAATGTTATTATTATTATTATTATTATTATTATTATTATTATTATTATTATTATTATTATTATTATTATTATTATTATTATTATTATTATTATTATTATTATTATTATTATTTTAAAAACTGACACTTTCTCTATATTTTTAATAATATGCACAACACTTTTTGGCATTGTAAAAAAAAACAATTCCCTGCTGAATATATGTGTCATCTTGCCTAATTTGCTGGCAAATCAATAACCCTTGTTTTTTTTTTTTTTTTTTTTTTGGTCTCATAACATAAACAATTTAACTAAAATTATAGTGTAATAGAAGTAATTTATTTGTACAAATTAAATTAATTTAATAACTTAAACAAAATTTTATAATCTTTGGATTCTAATTAACATTGTGTTACATGACATTATTATAACTTTCTTTTAAGGTTAAATATATTTATTTTCAAATAAAGTTTGACAACAATTAGAATTACAACTAATGTGTTTTTACAGGCAGCTGTGCCACAATCAATCACTTCTTTCATATTTGCCAAAGAGTATGGTTTGCATCCAGAAGTCCTTAGCACTGCGTGAGTATACTGTTTCTAGACCCTTACCCCCCTTCCCCCCCCCCCCCCCCCCCGCCCCCAATTATTCCATATGGATCATGAGCCACACAGCTATATAGGTCATAAATAAAATGTACATTTTTAATATAATAAAGTAAAGTTACAGCATTTGTATACTGAAGGTACATTATTTAATTTGAAAGTATATTATTTGATCGAGTACGGACGGTACATTATTTTGTACACTATCAAATAATATATATTCAGTAAATAAATAATGTACGTTTAATATATTAAAAATGTACGGAGTATCTTTTATTAATGGTTTACACAATTGTGTGGACCATGGTCCACTGAAAATACCCCCCACCCCTCCTCTTATTGGCAAATTATTGTATGGACCGTGGTCTACACAGTGCTGTGTGTACCATAATAAAAAATACATTTTTAATATACTAAAAATACATTATTCGTGTACTGAATATACATTATGCAAAATAATATACTTTCAGTATTCAAATAATGTATTTTCCTTGAATACAATGTACATTTTTAATATACTAAAACTACATTATTTGTATACTAAATATACATTATTTGATAGTATGGTCAACACAATAATATTGCCTCTTATCTCTCTGTCTCTCTCTACATGTGTGTATTAACCATTTTACCCTTCGAGTTTTGATGTAATTGCTATTGTTTATGCTTCATTTCCAGGGTTATATTCGGCATGCTTGTGTCACTTCCAATATTAGTTGGGTACTATGTATTCTTGGCGTATCTGCATTGATCATAATTGGTCCTCTCACATACCCCCTTAGCTTAATTTGTTAAGGCGATTAATTAAGCTGTGGGGAACTCAATTTTTGCGACACGTTGTACTAAGTTCGTACTTCATCAATAATGGTCCTGTTTCGTAATATAGTTAGTTTATCAGTCAATTTCAGCTTATTTGATCATTATTAATTGTTTGACTTGGTTAAACAAAACACTAATTAATCAAACACTCATTGATTGTTTAACCAAGTCAAACAATTAATAATGATCATTTATATTCTCTTGAAAAAATAAAATTTGCAATGTGGATACACACATTCATCTATATTCTCTTTAAAGTAAAATTAGACCCGCATGGGCAGCTCAACTGGTCATAGAGGTGAAACTTTGAAAGAATGCATGACCAGGGGGTCGAGTCTCACCAGCGGCAGCGTGGGAGCTACCTCTCAAAGTGAGGGGGGTTCGTTGTGCGCATTGAGCAAAGGTCTAGCCTTCAGTTGAGTTACAATGATTTACACTCTCCCAAATGCTCTGTGGGGGCAAAAAAAAAAAAAAAAGTAAAATTAGCAATGTGGGGTATCTTCATCTCTAATTTTACTTTTATTTTATCTTTTTATTTTTTGTAATTATATTAATAAATTAATCAATATTAATGTATAATAATTGAAAATATATTAATCTATAAATTTTTACTTCTCTGTAATATGGGAAGAAAAAAGTAAGTGACTAGATAGATTAAGGACACGCAAGTGTTGCGGTTCGATAAAAATAACAAGTGCAAATGTTTTTCAAATTCACAAATGTTACGTACCATGCTAATGTAGTATTTTTTTTTTTTACATAATTATTAATCTCTATTAGTATAATAGAAATGAATTAAAAATATTTATTATTTCTTCAAATAAAAATTCAAAAAAGATAAACTAAATAGAAATTGAAACAATTCAAATAACTTCTAAAAATTGTGAATTATAAAAAAAAATATAAGAAGTAATTCAAAACTTCTAAAATATAATTTTACTTTTTAACTTATAACCTAATAAATTTTCAACAATTGTATCATCATAGGAGTGACGATAATATTACAATTTTGGTGTTTGGGAAGGCTGAAAATGAAATAATCAAAGGAAAATAACTTCTAGTTAATGTAAAATGAGGGCTAAAATTTGAAAAATGACTTCCCCGTTTTTTTTTTTTTTTTTTTTTTGCGGAAGTCATTTTCCATCTTTCGATCAACATCCGTAGACACGCTTCTTCTCCTTCACTGCTTCTTCAACATTCAACAAAGAACTACCAACACATCTCCTCCAACTACAAGGTATATTATTTTTATTTTTATTTTTTAATTTTTTTTTTCAAATATTATGGCTGGGGAAACCAGTAAGTCTGGTTTTCCGCATCGGAAACCAAATCTGGTTTCCGATGCGGAAACCAGTGCGTCACTGGTTTCCGGTTGGAAACCAGTTGACGCACTGGTTTCCGATCCGATGCAGAAATCAATTGGTTTCGAAACCAGTTGCAATTTTTTTTGTTTTTATTTTTTTATGCCAAACCGTGAACTTGTTGCTGGTATTATTTTTTACTGATTATATAATAACATGCTTTGCTTAATTTGTGGTTATGTGTTAATTTTAATTGTTGTTATTTGTTGTAATATTATTTTGATTGCATAGATGGATATAAATCATGTGCGTGCAACTGTTATGGGTGCAGCAAGTGCTATACTAGCTATGGGAGTCCTTCTATTGCAACAACTTAGGAATATAAACCAAATAGAACATGACATCCTCAATAGAGATGATGAGCGAGAGAGTTACATAAATAGTATCTTGTGTGAGGGTGATAACAAATGCATTAGCGTTATTAGAATGCGACTTATTTCCTTCTATAAATTGTGTGACATTTTTGCTACTAAGAACTTATTACGCACAACTAGAGCCGTAAGAATTAAGGAACAAGTGTTAATATTTTTACATATAATAGGTCACAATGTACGCTTTCGAGTAATTGGGTCAAGGTATTATAGGTCAACTGAGACAGTTCATCGTTACTTTAGAAGTGTTTTGAGAGCCATTTTATCTTTGTATACGAACCTCATAGTATTACCGGATGGTGAAGTAACTCCTCATGAATCATTAGCAATCCAAGATTTTATCCATATTTCAAAGATTGCTTAGGAGCAATAGATGGAACCCATATTCGTGCATCCGTGCCAATTAATATGCAAGGAAGCTTTCGCGGATGTAAGTGGAACAACACAAAATGTATTTGCTGCGTCACTTTTGATTTGCGATTTTGTTATGTGCTAGCTGGGTGGGAAGGTAGTGCACATGATTCTCGAGTCTTGAATGATGCACTCACACATCCAAATAAATTTAAAATTCCAGAAGGTATAAAATAAAATTATGTAATCAATTTTTACATTGTGTTGTTCGTTATTGCATATAAGTAATCAAATTATGTAAACTTGTAGGGAATATTATCTTGGTGATGCTGGATATGACATACGGAATGGAATACTTACTCCATACCGTGGCGTTAGATACCATTTGAAAGAGTTTAGTGCTCATCGTCCTGAGAATAAGAAAGAACTTTTCAATCTTCGTCATTCGTCTTTACGTACATCTATTGAGAGAGTGTTTGGAATTTTGAAGAAACGGTTCCGTGTGTTAGATGCTGAACCTTTTTGGGATTACCAGACACAAGTGGATATAGTTTTAGCTTGTTGTATAATTCATAGCCATATTATGGGTGTTGATCCTAATGATGAGTTGAATCAAGCAACAGTTGATGTTGATGACGATAACTTGTTACCCTTAACTCATACCCAAACAGAAGAAAGACAAGAAGCTAGACAATGGAATACAAAAAGGGATGAGATGACAGAACAAATGTGGAATGACTTTATTATTAGGAATTAGTGTCTAGTTTCTTATTGTTATGTATTTGAGTATGCTTTGTTAATGAATATTATTAGTTGTTGAACATTTCTTATTGTTGTGTACTTGATTATACTTTGTTATTGGATATTATTAGTTGTACTTGAGTATGCTTTGTTGTTATTGGTTGACATTGGTTGTTATTGTTTTTATGTTATTATAGCAACATGAATAAGGGAAAGGGAATTGCCACTTCTAAACAATTTCGATGGACAAAGCCAATGGATGGCGTATTTTTAAAGATATTAGCTGAAGAGGCTAGGAATCCTAATAATCCAACTAATAGTTTTAAAGCCTCTTCATTCAATCGTGTTGCAACGGCCATATCCGAACAATTTAATGTTGCATGTGAACTCAAACATGTTGACAATCACTTGAAAACAGTGAAGAACACTTGGATGATGATTCTGAAGCTGAAGAACATGAGTGGTCTTGGATGGGATGATAACTTAAAAATGGTCACATGTGATGAAGCCCCGTATATGGAGCTTATCACGGTAATATTTTAGTATCATAATTTGACTATTGCATAAATAATGTTTTTTTAATTAGAAAAGATCTCATGTTTTTTTTTTTTCATAGGCAACTCCCAAGTATGAAACATTGTTGAACAGGAAGATTGATTTCTATGATGAGATGTCCATTTTCGTTGGCAGAGATTGTGCCATAGGACGGTTTGCAAAGTCTTTTGCAGATGTTAATTTAGATGGTCCTCATGATGAGATATTGCCTGATAACATTGATGAAACCCTGCCTGATAACATTGATGAAGAAATTAGTTAAGGGAAAAACATCTGCATCAACTGCGTCGTCTCAAAGATCCGGTCGGAAGCGAAAGACACTTGACTTGAAGGTGGATGAAATTGCTGAACAGCTGGGTAGCATTGCCACGACAATTAAATCTTTGAATACCGGTATTGATGAAAATCAATTGTTTGCGGATGTAATGAGCATAGGTGATGGCTTTCATGAGGATGAACTATGTAAGGTATTTGAATACTTGATGACAAATGAGGTTCAGGCGCGAATTTTCAATGCGAAGAATGCAAGTTTGAAGAGGAAATGGATTGAGAAATTTATTTCTTCTACGGATTAAATTATGTATGTCTTTTTTGTTGGTTAACATGCATGTTAAGACTTGGATTGGTTATGTTGGATCTTAGTACTTGTTATATTGGATCCTAACACTTTGTGGACTTTAATTTTCAAGACTTGATTATTTATGCGTTTATGCTGTTTCTAACATGTAATTGTGATTTCAAATTGTCATATTGTGACAATAGTTTTAGTACTAGAAAGATAGAGAGCAATGGCATTAGAATTAAATACAATCAAAATTTATGTTGCATATAATTTGTAATAAAAATTGTTATATTCTACAAACAAAAATAAAAATATATTATTCGGTATATAATAATAAAAATGTTTAATAAAAATAAGTATGCCATTTTGTTTATTTTCTGGAAAATGAACCAAACACCAAAAGACAGTTTTCCATCATTTTCTGGAAAATGAACCAAACACCAAAAGACAGTTTTCAATTGTGCAGCCAAACACAGGAAAGGAAAATGACTTCTGGAAAATGACTCATTTTCCAGAAGTCATTTTCCGGGTTTCCAAACAGACCCTAAATAGAAATTGAAACAATTCAAATAACTTCTAAAAATTGTGAATTATAAAAAAAAGGGAAAATTGCATTTTTCGTCCCTAAGTTATAAGGTAATTGTAGAATTTGTCCCTGAGTGTTGGTCATGCTCAATTTTCGTCCCTAAGTTATCATTGGTGTTGCACTTTTCGTCCCTGAGTTATAGAGTAATTGTAGAATTTGTCCCCGAGTGTTGATTATGCTCACTCACTTTGCGTCCCTAAGTTATCATTTGCCTTGCACTTTTCGTCCCTGAGTTATACTAAAATTGCAATTTTCGTCCCTAATCACTACTACATAAATGGTATACTACGTCACTTAATAGACTGATGTTTTTTAAATAACCACCGCCTTATATATTTTGTTATACTACGTCATTTAATAGACAACGGGTTTTTAAATAACCACCGTATATAACTTAATTAAATTTTTTTACGTCATACACTTTAAATAACCACCGGCGGTTTTTTTACACATACACGACAGTTTTCGAAGTGTCGCGCGTGTAATTGACTGCCGTTGTAAATATACACTTTCTACGACGGTTTTGGAAATCGTC